AAATGCACTCTTTCGTTCCAACATTTCTTCCAATTTATCTTAAAATTTCTACTTGCAAATTGTTGGAACAGATGAAAATTATAAAAGTAAATATAATTAAATCAATAGGATTATTTGCTTTTGATTATTAATTCCATTGCTAGTTTTTCTTCTGTTTTTATTATGCATACCAGTTTTACAAAGTGCATGCTTTATTTTAATTTTTTTTTTTAATTTTGAACTGGCAAGCTAAAATGATCCACCTTTTCCTGCCTTTTTGTTTTTTAATGTTAATACAATCTAAAATCTAGCATTAAAAAATTTATCATGATACACCTGGTATATTGACTGCTTATGGCGCATGCTTTTCTTGGCAAAAAAAAAACCAACAACCGAAACAAATTGGCTCCCCTCCCACCCCACCCCATTCTTTTTTGGAAGCAATTTAAAACTTAAAAGCAGGCTGGAACACAATTGCTTCAAGGGAAAAATAAATAAAATAATACCTGATGCGCTCATTTTTTGTCACATGGCACTGTTTGTGGAATTGCACGCGCACACACACGCACGCACACGCACCCGACACGCACGCAAGAGCACGCACGCACGCTGCAACCTGCTCGTGAGGAAAATAGTTTATTAGGTCAGGAGTGCCTGTGGCACATGAAGGCTCCCAGCTGTGTGTGCAACTTTGGATTTTGGTACCCACTTCACGTCACCTTGAATCCTCTGACATCCACCGAGGGGGTAATGTAAGGCATACTTTGCTGGAACAGTAATAATCCATGCTTCATGCTCAAGAGCTGAGTCTCAGAGGAGGACTGGCTTTCTCGACTCCCTTTGGCCTCGCTCCGTCTCACTCAAGGAACAAAAAAACCCCAAAAACAAGGGAGAAGAACTGGGGAAAACAAGGAAAGCAAAAGACAAATCCCTTTAAATGGACTTTCGCCTTTTCATCAGCCTGTGGTTATCTGTAAAGCTGTGCAACCCAGGTGAGATGGAGCTGACAGGAGATGGGAAAAGGCTGTTTTTTAATGTGCTTGGAGAGATCTCCTCGATCTTGTAAGAGATGGAGTGAAAGTACTGGGGGTTCAGCTTTGAGCTGAACGAATTTTGGTGGGACACCACCCGGCTGGTGTACTCGTGGGACCTGTAACACATGCAGGAACAAACTGACTGAAGGTCTGTTACTTCGGCCTTGTACCGTGGCCGACCATGCTGGGAGTCCTCTTGGATGTGGATAATCATGCTGTTGCGGTTCCCTGCCAGGGACGCCCGTTCCTCGGCATCCCGCCTCTCGTCCTCGCTGTTCATGGTTAAGAACCTGAGAACAACCAGATTTAGAAATGCCCCAATGACTGTCAACCCCACTAGGATGTACATAAAGCTAAAAGCCACGTAGAGAGGCTTCTTTTGAAGGGCCCCTTTGGTCTGCAGGGCCACATAGTCTCCAAACCCTATAGTAGTCAATGTTATAAAGCAGTAATAGTAAGCATGGAAGAAGCTCCATTCCTCATACTGGGAAAAGGCTGCTGCTCCAATGCAGAGTGTTCCCATGCAAGAGAAGAAACCCACAGTGACCATGTTTTCCATGGAGACCTCTGTGCTCCTCATCCCACAGCACTTTTTGATGCGTTTCAAGAGGTACTTGACGAAGGTGTTCATGCGCTCGCCCAAGCTCTGGAACATGACGAGTGTCAGTGGGATCCCCAGGACCGCATAGAACATGCAAAAGGCCTTTCCTGCGTCCGTCCCTGGGGCAGCATGTCCATAACCTGGGAGGTGGAATGAAAAGACAGGACAGTCAGCATGGCAGGTTATGACCACAGCTTCCCCTTTAAGCAAACCACATGAATCACGGAGACTCTAATGCTGCAGTCAGATCCCAAGCTACAGGAACATTGCAGTCAATCTATTTTCCTATCTCCTCACCTGTGTCTTGTGTCAGAAGCAATAAGACACAGAACAACAAAGCTTTACACACAGGAGTGGGAAAGATTAAAGAACAGGCAAACCATCCCACTCCAAATAACTGTGTAGTCTCCTAAACAAGGTTCTATCTTTATTATCTTTAGAATTTCTTTACTGTAAGAGTGGTCAAACACTGGAACAGGCTGCCCAGAGAGGTGGTGGAGTCACCATCCCTGGAGATGTTTAAAAGACGAGATATTGTGCTTAGGGACATGGTCTAGTGGTGGGCTGAGGGCTGGTTTGATGTTTGGACTCGATGATCTTAAAGGTCTTTTCCAACTAAAACCATTCTATGATTCTATGATATCATACTCATTCTCTAAAGAAATTTCACATCCATCCTGTATCACATGCAGCAGTGGAAACTTTGGAAATAGGTGGATTTTTCCACAGTATTTTTGAGAGAATTTGGTCTTCCCCTGTCCCAAAGCCAGAGTATGCTAATGACATTGGAATTCTGTGTCTGCTGGCATCATGGAATTAACAATATCCACAGACCCACTGATCAATGAATTTCCTTTCCAAACTCTTTCATATTGAGTAAACCATTCTCCTAGACATCCTGTGAAAATCCCTCACTGCTGGAACACCAGAGGACTTCAGAGGTTTAATGCCTGGTCTATCTTTAATTATTGAACAATAAACAACTCACCAGCTTGTTTTATAGTTTTACAGCTTTAACAGATAGTCTGGCAAAGGCAAATTTATCAGGATATTAAACTAATCCAGGACAGAGGATATAGCATGTTTCACAGCACAGTTTACAGACAGTAAAATCATGATTTTATTCTAAACCAAAACTTAAGTGTGTGTGGTGTGCCTGTTTTAAAATTATGATTTCACTTTTTCACATCACACTGCTTTAAAAATCTGCATTTCTTACAGCTAAGATTCTAAGTGACAGTACCAAAGTATCCAAAATGGGATGGCTGGGACTCACCCGGCCATGTGTACATTGACCGTGTGGGTACCAATATTTAGACTCCCCTTAAAGGCAATGACCAGAAATACGAACTTCAAAAGTGAAGTTCCTCTCATCTACATCTCGGTGTCTAAAACAGGTCAATGAGTTATTTTCACGAGGCATGTATTTCTCTACAGTCATTGCAAGAGAAATCTTCAGAGAGAACTCAGTTCAAGGCTAATATATCTAAGTTTTGGTATCTACATGTGTGCTAGGTGTCCAAGGTTTCATTACTAGTATTTAGTTCTAGTATTAAAGTTCTACATCTACTTCATCTGCCATCTTCATGACTTCAGGTAAACTCAGCTTTATCTCTGCTCTCAGTTTTCTCCTGTCTGAACAGGAGCCACAGCTTTTTAGCTCATATAACAGAAATCATATTCTCTTGACCATTTCAATGTCCTTCTCTAGGTCTACCACATCATTTTTGAGGTGCAAAAGCCAGAACTCTGCATAGCCCTCAGGATGTGGGCACACCATGGAGTCTGTAGTTCTGCTAGAATAAAAATATGAACCCCAGGCAACCTTCAAAATGAAAAGTAACAGTGGACAATGAAAATAAAATGAGAATAACAAGCAAGAAAGTGCTCAAAAAAGCAACAGGTATTTCCTAAGTTCAGTTGCTACTTGTTGAAAGAAGAATGGGATATAATAAACAGTTTACAAAAGAAGCATGTAACTCAAAATAGGAAGTTCTTTTCAGGTTACAAACCAAAGAGAATCACCTGTTGTATTGGTCCAGGTACCCTGTTCATCATAAAAAGCAGTTTCCAAATTACCTGGAAAGGGAAGTGTCTTCAATAGATTGATGCTGGGTTTGTTCCACCTGACTGTCCCTCAACAAAGGCTATAATTGCCTCTCATTACTAACATCAGCTTTTGAACTACAGGGGTGTTAATTAAACCAGGGACATCTTCCCATTTTATAGCTTTAGTTACAGCTGATAAAGAGAAGTAAAGCTTCAGAAAATGTGATTTTCCAGATGGTTGCAGAGATGGCAGTTGGTGGAAACAGCTTTCACTTTGGGTTCTAAAGAAAATGGTTGGGGTAGAAAAAGATTTCTCTTGATATCACTATATCCCTCTCACTAAAGATATCCACAGAGACAGTTTAGGGAGATTATAAAACATTAATATTATCTGCTTACACACTATCTCACAATTGAATTTCTAAGATTTGTCACAGAGTTTGTAATTAACTTAGGACTCACAGCTCTCCCATTAAGATAGGAATACATCCATATTCCTGTTTTACAGATCAGAAAGCACAGACACTGGCAGCCTATAATTTCTCCCCAATTCACATAGGTAGTCAGAATATCCAGATACTGTGATTTGCATTCTGCCTGATGTCACAGTCACTTGTCTACAATATCAGGTAACTGTCTTTTACCATGTTTTCACTATGAAGCTGAGTGTAAAGAAAAGACTTTATTGATGAAGCTGGTATAAGACTTTACAAATAGACTCATGTATCAAGGATCTCAGTCATGTATTTCTCCAGTACAACATGGCTTTAAGGAATAAGCACCTTAACAACTGCCTTCAGCACGCTGAAATGAAGGGTTTCAAAATACGCCAAAGAAAGACTTAACTTTCCATTACTTTAGCATTACAGAATCTATCCAGCCATACAGAAAGCAACACATGAAAAGTAAACTCCAGCAGTGCATGTTCTCTGAAATTCAGTAAATATAAAATTTAAAACAAATTACTGTTTTCTTAATATCAGAGACTGCCTCTGGGAAAAATGAGGCCAGTAATTGCACAGAGGATCATTAACGCCAGGAAATAGCCTTCCACAGTGCATAGGGTTAATCTCCAAGTAGTTGGGTTTCACTCATGTCAAGTAAAGGCAAAAGTAGAAGCAACTGCTTTGGTAGCACATTTCAGCTACCAAAATCCAGTCCAACTTCCTCTACATGAATGCCACAGCCTTTTACCAGTGTATAAAGAGTTGGCTCTATGTGAACCATAAGAAACACAAGGCTTAAATAGAGAGGTTAAATGTGACATTGGTATTTCTCACTCTTCTGTGATGAAAAAGAAAGATCAAATAGAAGCCCTTAAAACTAGGTACAGCATCCCCTAACAAGCCAAGGGGCTGAGGTGACAGTGACAAATGTATATATGGACCTTTATACTGGACCATATCTAGATAAATACTGTACTACTCAATACTACTTTAGTTTACTAATAAGTTTCCTGAGGACCCACTATACAGCAATATGGCCACAGCAGGCAGATTTGTCTGATATTTAATGAGATATAATTTGAATGATCAAGGACAGACTAAACAACTTTCACCTTGATTGGAATTGATGTCATTAGTACTCTCTCTGTCTTTTATAATCCCTCCCAGCTGCTTACGCTTTCAAGTCAGAGCTCATCTGGGTTGGCACCAAGAAGAATAGTTTGGCATGAAATAATGTTATGTCTCAGAGTGTCATTCCAATTCTGGATTGCAGAGTATCAATGCACCGCAAAAGCTGTCTCCTCCCAGTTATGGAAGAGCTGGGCAACACATATCAAGGAGAATTGCAGGAGCTGTAAGCAAGGGAGGCCAAGGATCAGACCATAATGGTTGACACCTCTGTTGAGGTCTTCCCTGCCTTTGATTTTTCCAGGCCTTGTCCATTCTCTGGAGGAAAACTCTCAAATATCTTATGCGTCTACATATGAGTCTAGAAAAAAATAAAAAGGAATACTATTTTCTTGTTTGCCAGAGTGTAGCTATGAAAGTCTGAGGAGAATCCACTCAGCCTCCTTCAAAGCTTATTTTTCCATGGAGCCATGGAGCCTCGTTACAATCTATGTGAGATCCCTTCAGGAGGACAACCCAAATAGCATTCTCTCACTTCTAAAGGGACATTGTGCTCAGGTACCAGGCCACAACCATAGCATGCAGTGGAACACAGTGCACAGCTACCCTGAATCCAACAGCGACCACAAGCAGTTGGCTGGGGAAGAGTATAGGAATGGTATAATTATATGTGACATTTCCCCCAAGTATTCATGTACTCAGCTTCATCATTTGGAGCTCATGGATGTCCTAAGCCAGATATGATTTCACTGGTTTTAGTCACACACAGTGGCTTTCTCTTCTATGAGCTTGGCCATTTTCCCTTGAATGTGTATTAACTTTTAGTACCTGCAACATCCTGTGGCAAAAAGCTCCATATATCAGCTTATGTGTTCATTAAAAAAATCACTGTTTAAAGAAGGGTAATGAGGAACTTGGTGGAAGCGCTCACCAAGCCACTTCCCATCATTTATCAGGAGTCCTGCCTAACCGGGGAGGTCCCAGTTGACTAGAGGTTAGCAAATGTGATACCCATCTACTGGAAGGGCCAGAAGGAGGATCCGGGGAACTACAGGCCTGTATCTCTGACCTCACTGCTGTGGAAGGTTATGGAGCAGATCATCTTGAGTGCCATAACATGGCACATTCAGGACAAGAAGATTAGGCCTAGCCTGCATGGGTTTGTGAAAGGCAGGTCCTACTTGATTAAGCTGATCTTATTCAATGACAAGGGGACCCACATAGAGGATGAGGGAAAGGCTGTGGATGTTGTCTACCTGGACTTTAGTAAAGCCTTTAACACTGTTTCCCACAGCATCCTTCTGCAGAAACTGGCTGCCCATGGCTTGGACGGGTGTACTCTTTGATGGGTAAAAAACTGGCTGGCTGGATGGGCCCAAAGAGTGGTGGTGAATGGAGTTAAATCCAGTTGGAGGCCAGTCACAAGTGGTGTTCCCCAGGGCTCAGTACTGGGATCAGTTCTGTTCAATATCTTTATCAATAATCTGGATGAGGGGATCGAGTGCACCCTCAGTAAG